AGCACTGGGTGGAGTTGTGGGAGAAGTCTGCAGTGTAGATATTCATTAATTATTCATTTATTGTTATTTAATTTTCTTTGTCTGTTTAATGTATGTTACTGTGTTTTACTGGAAAGAACTTTGTGCTTCGATTTTATAAATAAAGTTGGATTGGATGTGTGCAAACTGCAAAGACAGCTCACATCTGGATCCGTGTGCATTTGTACACGTGTGACTGCACTTTACTGCAAACTGTGTGCGCACAAAAGGAACAAGTTTTCCTCGATGACATCAGTGTCTGCTGCTCTTTCTGTTTCTCAGTCAGAGCTGTAAAGAAATAACCGGCCTCCACCTTCGCTGGAGGATGTGAGCCAGGGTGTTGTGATCCGGCTTTCCAGGTTTGGATCAGTGATTCAGTCGGCTCACGATAAGGCTGAAGGATAAACACGAGGTAGAAAAACTGGGCCAAGTTCAAAACGTGACATTTCCACAAACACGTGCCGGCTGTGTCTGATTACGAGCAGTTCAATAAAACCCTAAAACCTGCTCCTCTGTGTGGATACTGCAGCGACCTTACTGCTGGTCGTGCGGCTCCTCTTCAGTTAATGTTAACAGTGTCAGGCCTCCTGCTGTGAAAGAGCCAGAGCAATCATCACTATCCTTTTACTTTGTCACGCTGTTTGGACCGTGCACCAACCACATTTCAGTGACTGATTAACACCTGTGGGCTGCAGGGTTGTGCAGTGTCGTGTATGCAGACACATTATTGGAACAGTTTGAGCCCTTTGACTTTTAGTTGTGTATAAATGTGTGAGTCCAAAAGCTGCTGCATCCTGTGAGTGAGGTTAAAGGTCGAAGGGTTTAAGGACAGGTTCGTCCCACCAGTGCAAACGTTCCCGGTGTCTCCGGTGAATGACCAGACGTGACCGTCGTTTTGTCCTGATCCGGTTTCTTTTGTGACTCCACTGATAAAATGATGAACAAATGAGCAGCGAAGACAAAAGTCCGCTGGTCTGAGATCAGCTGATTCATCTCAATGTGATGTGTCTGTGGTAGATTCACCCAGCGCGGCGATGCTACCCTGCGCGGCGATGAATGCTGCTGCTAATAAAATCACACCTGGATGGATGGAGGGGTTAATTGGCTGGTTTACCTTAAAGTTCACGTTATCCAGGTGACTGTAACAAGCAAAGGTAAGTAACTAATGATGCGTGACAGGAGAGTTAGCCAGCTAGCATGTACCTGGTCACAGTAGCTTTACACGGCCAAGGTTTTATCTCGAGGGTTAACTGTTCTCAGTCTAGTCTGAGTAACGAGCACCAAACTGTCCTCCATGTCCTCCTGCAGCACATCCACCCACACACTTTACACGACTTTAATATCTTACTGGCAGCTCTGACCTTTGAACTTTGTTCAGACAATACAGATTTTACAGCTTCACTGAAGGAAGAAGATGTTTTTCCTGTGAAATAATTTGATGGTGTTTGTTTCCTGGTGTTTCCAAAATTCAGACTATAAAAACAGAGAAAAGCAGCAGAAACTCAAATCTGAAGACCTGAAGATGAGACACGTCGTAGTTTTACTGGGTGAGTTTTCTGCTCTGCACTGATGATAAACCTGTTAAAAACAATCTTTAGCTTTTTCACATGCCCGATAATGATGACGGTGTTTAAAAACAAGTTTCATTGTTACAAACATAAACTTACCTTTGTGGCGTTACGGGGACCTGCTCATAAGGACTCACTGAGGACAGCGAGACTCGTCAGGTCCCCACAAACATCAAACTTTCCTCGAGGTTTTGGGATTATTCAGAAATGTCATAAACTTTTATCTGTAATTGATTGAAAATCTGAGTTTAACTTTCCATTTAATTAATGAGGGAATAAAATGATTAAATTTAGTAACGTAATGATATGAACCAAATTAATTAACTTAAAAATCTTAATTAACGTTAAACTTTAGAATAAAAGAGAAAATCTGAATACTTTTGTCCTAAACTGAGTTTAACTACGTAAAGACCATCTTTTAGTGTTTTAACACTAAATATAATAAATAAATAAATATGCAATAATTCTGGTTATTTATTTTCTCCTAACTGAAAACCCAAGGCTGTGTCCATAAAAGTCTACATCTGTGTGTGTCCAGCTGTTTTGTGGGTGTGTGACGGCGTTAAGTTCGGTCAGCTGTGCAGCAGTAACCCGAGCAACAGCCGGAGGACGTCGGACAGATGGGGACAGGGACAGTACGGAGCCGGACGGTACTCAGAGATCACGTTTGTGTTGTAAGGCTGGTGTGGACGATGTGGCACAGCTGCTCACAGCTGGATGTCTGCTGCTTACAGGGGGACCAGACCCCACCAAGGGCTGGACATCAAGTGCAGCGACGGCGACGCCGTCTACGCTCCGTTTGACGTGACTCTTAACGGGAGACTGACCGTCTACACCGACCCCAATAAGGCAGCCATCAACGAGGGCATCAACCTGTCAGGAGAGGGTGGGTCATCACGCGCAGCAGCACTGACAGAGTTACTGATCCTGGTTCTGATTCGCTGATCGAGGCGTTGCGTTTGTGTCCTGCAGGTCTTTGTTTCAAGCTGTTCTACGTGAGGCCGGACCGAACCTCAGGAACGGTGAAGAAGGGGCAGAGGATCTGCACCATGCTGCCCATGCAGAGCGTTTATCCGGGAATCACCTCACACGTCCACGTCCAGATGTTAACGATAAAACGATAACAAAATTACGCTGAAAACTGATAAAAACTCTGAAAACCAGACATTTCACACCTGAGCCTCAACTCTCGCGGCCCGGTACCAAACGACTCACTGACCGGTACCAGGCCGAGGCCCGGGGGTTGGGGACCGCTGGTATAATAAACAGAGCAACTGGGGTCAGAGACAATCATCAGTGTTCACAACTAAAATTGTATTGAAGATTAAAGTTTGTGTCATTGAGACTGTGCAGCTGTCAGTAGCCTGATAAATCCTGCTGCTTGACTCGGTGGTAAAACACCATCCACCAATCGCCCTGACGGTAGAACTGCACGACGAATTACAGACCAAAGCCGTGAAAACAGTCAAGAGAAAAATGTAAAATCTCTGTGCTTTATATCCAAGTTCTTATTATTCATCCTGACTCTTCATTAAAGAGCTGATGGAGCAGCCGGTCCACCACAGGTCTGTCGCACGGCGCCCTCTGCTGGGCGGTCGCTGCCATTACAACCCACTTCAGCTTCTCAGACACATGAAGGAAGAGCTCAGCTGTAAAGACATCTTATCTTAATGACCTTGTAGTACCATATCACCCTATCAGAGCACGTCACTCTCGTTCTGCAGGCCTACTTGTTGTTCCTAGAGTATTTAAAAGTAGAATGGGAGGCAGAGCTTCAGTTTTCAGGCCCCTCTTCTGTGGATGGATCCACAGCCATGCATCATTATAGCCCCGTGTCCATTAGTACCTACTCGGCTCGACTCAGAGAATCCAGTGACATCATTAGTATGCAACACGTCAACAACAAGGTGGACGTTGAGGCGATGATGCACCTGCTGCTCAGTCTGTGGCTTTTCGTCTCACTCGGGGACCACAGTTTTGTTTTTAGAGACATTTCCCTCGTTGTCGGGTTCCAAAAATGTCAGTTTTCATTTTTGTGAATGAGAAGCTCTCACAACTCATCGATGACGCCACTGAGCAGCCAATCGGTGGCATGCAGTCTGACGACATCACATTTTAGTACCTGCTCGGATCACTTGGAACCCGGCCGAGCAGGTACTAAAATAGTAGCAGATACTGTGACCTAATGGGAAACTGTGAAAACTGTGACAAACCGTGCCAAATCGATTCGAGTAGGTACTAATGGAAAGGGGCGTATATATTCCTTTGACCTGCCTCCTTCTGCCCTCCTCCCCTCGCCTTCACAGATGGCTGCCCCACCCTGATCCCGGATCAGCTCGTGGGGGTCGTGTGATTGTTGGGTTTCTCCCGTAGAGTTTATCTTGCAGTGTAACGCCCCTCCAGGTGACTGTTGTTGTCATTTGGTGCTTTATAATAAACATGAATCTGCCAGTTCTCCCTGTGCTGACTCAGTCTGCAGCTCTGCTTCTTGAAGTTTCTGTGCTTTTGTCTTCAGTTTGTCCTTGTTGTCCAGCCTTACTGTGTCCCTGACATTTTGCTTGATTTTGTGTGTGCAAGCTTCAAACTGCTGCAGTGCCTTTTGATTTCCTGCGTTTCTTCCCAAAGCTTTAATTCATCCATGACTCCTTCCTCTGGAGTCTTGCTGTCGTCCGGCTGCTTTGGCTTAAAGCAAACGGTCTCTGTCTCTGATGTGCTTCCTGTTCACGACTGCCGATACAACACATGGACTTCCAGAAGGTACATGAAGGTGGTTCCCACAAACATTACCAGGAATGACTTCACCTGATAACAGTGCTTTGGCGGGATGATAACACTCACCGCGGGTGGCCCAGACTCTACAAACTGCACGTGTCAGGAAGTTTGTTTCTGGGCCAGAGGCTGGACCATCAGCCCCACGCGGTCTGCAGTCATGCACTGATCTGTTCCCTTACAGTTATCACACAGTACAAAACATTACAGATAATGTAGCGTGAAACTGAAAGTAAGGCCTGTGCCTTACAGCACACGTGTTTTGGGTGCTGTTTTTCTGTTTGTCAGTGGTTTACTGTCCACTCAGACCTTCATGTGTTTATTTGTGTTTTTCACTTTAATCCCAGTCACTGCAAACCACAACAGGTTCAGCTTTAGGAAAGAGTCTGGTGTTCCACATTCACAATACACCAATGACTACCAACCAACCAACCAACCAATCAACCAACCAATTAACCAACCAACCAACCAACCAATCAATCAACCAACCAACCAACCAACCAACCAACCAACCAACCAACCAATCAACCAACCAACCAACCAACCAACCAATCAATCAACCAATCAACCAATCAACCAACCAACCAATTAACC